AGAGCGAATTTGCTATTTTTAAAATTAATCGAGTGGATTTCATTTAAATAACTATGCAATGATTTTTAATGAAAATTATATAACAATTTGAAACTAGCAGAACTCAATAAGTGATAAGTTAACATTGAAATTAAGTGTTTACATTACGGTGAAGCAATTTAAGAAGATGGGTATAAACTGTAAGAAATAAAAAAAATGAATCGTACAAAAATCTAATATGAAAAATTAAATGTTATAATGCTAAATTATATAAGAATTGATTAAACATTAAAAAATTTAATGAAGATAATGTTAATGAAGATAATGCCTTAACAGTATTTTTTATTTGTATTTAACTATTTTAAACTATAATAAATGTTAAGTTAAATCTATTATTTCTATTGCATCTCTATTTATTATCGTAAAATACCTCAATTAAACATTTAATAAAATCTGAAAGAAAATATAAACTGTTTCGACGGATTTGAATAGCAAAGAAAATACAAGGACAAAAATTTATTTAATTTATTGAAATTTGGCTGACCATACAACACTGTTTCGCGTATTGCCAAGTACTCATCATCACTATTCATCACAAGTATTCGAATTTATATTTAATTAGTTTATAGTCTGTATATAATTTATTGGATTGTCAGTGCCAGACTTAGATCACTGATCATGAGTACTTGGCAATGCTCGAAACAGCGTTATTTGGTCAGCCAATTTTCAATAAATTGAATAAATTTTTATCCTTGTATTTTCTTAGCTATTCGAATCCGTCTAAGTTTTTAATAGTTTCTTTTCGTCATAAAGACGCGTCATTCTCGGCAAGAAAAATTTAACATTAAAAATATAAAATATTTCTACAATATACATTGTAGATAAGTTCTTAAATAAAAAGGATTTAAATTTATTTTCATAAATTTGCCGTTTTAGTTGCCATCGTAGTATATGCCTCTGTCCTTGTAATTCATAGTCTTCTTCCGTTTGCTGATGCTTTACACGACATTGACTTTCACCCGGAAATTAGTTAACTCCCTTCATAATGGATTTGAATAATGTATGACGGTGCTTTGAAAATGAAATTAATTGCTGCGCGCGAATGTCATCACGTGAATCCATAGACGCGTGAAGTCTCCCTTCTGCCTTCTGCGCTACGTTACCTGCGTTTCAAATGCTAATTTCATTCAAAGTTTCATTTGGCATTTGTGGCGATATAGTCTCAATGTGAGATGAAATATTAATGACTTGGTCTGTTGTATCTATATGTAATAGGGCAATTATAATGAATGCTAACATATTAACATATGTATATTTTTACAACTATTTAGTTTTTTATTATTATTAATTTTTTTTCCAGACATTTCAAATGCGTTTAAATTTAAATTTTATTTTTATAATAATTTGTGTAAATAACAAATTCTGAAGAGAATAGATTTATATAACCATTTTTCCTTTTTTATCAAATATAGGGATAATTGTTTTTGTATTTAGTCTCCTTCCTTAAAGAATTTAATAATAATATTGAGCCTTTATTGCATTCTTATACATATATTGTTAATATTAAAAACAACAAGAACATTATTCAAATGATTGATATCCTAAGGCATTGCAGCTCAGAAGTTCTTCAAGCGAACTCAAGATAAAATATGTGCAATTCTGTTCTGGAAATCTGGGAAAATGTTTATATTGCATTCACTTGACACTGACGTTAATGTAGCTTCAGCGGAACTTTGCAACGAAAAGTTTAGACAACCGAAGAACAAGACGTAAGTATGAAACTGCAATTGCAGTGAATTTGATAAATGTTGCGTTGCAAAAGCTGCATGCGTCAAAAATACGCAACTTCTAAAGAGCAAAAATGGCAGGACTCGAAAAGGATGAATCGATTAAAAGCGAAAGCATATGAAGTAGCAAAGTCAAAATCTATCAGCTTGCATTGAAAATGTAGCAAAAAGATAATCTTGTTCCTTGCAAAGTAATATATATTTTATAGCAATTTTATAAAAAGAAAAAATAGTTTGTAGTTTTCTTTAGGTTATACGAAGTTTTCGTATCTTTATGCAGAAATTAACTGGGGATATAAATCCAACAAGTTCTTCTCATAATTTGTGAGAACTTTTCAAAGGTTATATTGTTTACAAGAAATAACTTAGTTAAATGATGTCATATTAACACTACATTGTTCAAGATATATTATAAAATATAGTTTACGATGAACACGACATCCGGTTAAACTCAACACAGGCGCAGTCTATAAAATAATTATGCTACAACTAACTTAAATTAGCAAAAGACACTAAACTTTTTTAATGAGTGCCAGATTGTCCCTCATTCACAAATTCCAATATCGGACTACTGCTTTTTTTAATGTACATTATAAGTTATCTTTTATAGAAAGAATATTTTATAACTTAGCACATTTATGTAAGTTTCATTCTCCCAAAATTTTAAATGGTATTTCGAGTATTTCTTATTTGTTCACGGTAAGCCACACTTTAGAACCACGTTACTTATCAACTGCAATTTCTAATTTAATTCATGAATTTGTTTCCAAATTATTCGTTTCTCTTATTTAAAGTAAACTGCGTCCATACTAACTTACTTTCTTATTTGACCATTGCAAAACGTCAGTCGTTCTTGACTGCGTCTAGTAACCTCCGTCAGCCAGCACGATCAGTGGGTTGCAGTGTTCATATCGTTGGTCGCTTGGTCCTTCAACCGAAAATACGGACATTCTCTATCGCGTTTTTCAACAATTAGTAACCGATATAACAACTTTATAGTACTTTCTTTCATTCGCACGACCTGACCAAACCACCAAAGCGGTATAGCTTATATAGCTCATAGTTACATATAATTCGATACTTGTTGTCAACGCATAAAAGACCATAGATCTTTCGAAGAATTTTTCTCTCGAATGTTTCTAACGCTTTCTTACAGGCAATATTAGAGACTTGTAGAGTGTGATTTTTGTTTGTGGAGATAGACTTTATTTCTCAATTGCCTTCTTAGCCCAAAGTAATATCTGGTGGCAACGGTGCTCCATTGTTAATAAATATTGTTAACGTACACTGAAACTTAAATATACCAACCATACAACACCATACAACAATTGTGTTTTATAGATATAAGTTTCTCTATTGAAAATATCAAGATTTGTATCTAATTCAAGCAATCCTTTTTGAAGCATCCGTAAATTAAAAACTCAATAGCATTCATGCATTTGCCATCTTGGTACAGGTTTTACGTGAAAAATTCATCTAGTTTGGATAATAACTGTGAAGTGTTGATTTATTTAGTTATTTATTTTACAATTATATATATATATTTTATATTTAACTTATTATATATCTTATTTTATATATATTTAGCGCTTAAGCCGACTGTGGAGATTTTGAATAGATCAGAAAGCTATTCGACCGTGAAATCAATACATCGTTTTGATAAAACAGATGATGTCTTTAACATAAACTTCAAGGTTGTCAAAACTCCTTTCTCCTTAGACTTATAATCATTCGTTGAAAAGAACTCTTAACTGGGAGGAAAACTGAAAGAAACTTTTAAAACACTAATTAAAGAAAGTAAAGATTTAAAAAAATTAAAACTGCAGAAACGATGAATAAAATGGAATGGTCGTTTAATAAGTACACTGTAAGACCAATCACAAAATAAAATTTTTATGGGCAACGTAGTGGAAGCGAGGGGAAAATACAGAACAGATATCAATAAAGTGAATATAAATTTACTTCATACATGTGTTAATATCTTCAAAGAAAACCTCAAAAAGTGGTAAAAATGTCAGGGAGTTATACCATTGAAGCACTTTCGCGCCAAGAAAGAAGAAGAAAAAAAAACTGTGTGCAGAGTATTATATTGGTAATTTTAAATAAATATCTAATTTATCATTATTTTAAATATATGCAAAAACCGATTTATTTCAAAAGTTATATAAAATGTTTCAAACCAAAACTAAAATTTTTAATCATTTATACATTTATTTTACGTATACGTCATGATATTTTTATGAACCAAGAAAAAACATATCGGTAAAAATAATTATATAAACATATTCACCGTTATTAAGTTATATTAACTATATTTTTTAAATATCTTAAATTTCAATATTTTCTAATATTTTTAAAATATCTTAAGTTATTAACCTACAATCTTAAATATGCAATATATTATTTTAAATTATTTATTTAATAATAATTTAAGCTTTCCTTAACAAAAATAGTGGCGCCCTCTACAGTAAAATATAACGTCAACTGTAATTGAACAGAAGAGCTTTCGCTGAGTGTGTGGTAGGAAAGTTCATTTATTGTGACGTTGTTGCTTGCTATCAAGTTTTCAAAAGTTTGTTTTTATTGTTGCTGTTTCATGTGTTGTATGTTCACTGAGAGTCGGTCATGTCGCTGGCAATACAAACACACATTTGCTGTGCGATAATGCGTCGTAGATTTTCCATGTATTTTATTTTTGTTGTTTAGTTAGTTGCTCAGTTGCTTTAATTTGGACACATTCGTTTTGAGTGAATTAAAATATAAAATTAAACAATTTTAAATATATATGATATAATAAAATATTAGTAACACAAGTTTTTATTAATAAAGTTATTAAAATAAAATATTGTCAATGCAAATAAAAATTACTTAATTAAAATTAAGTAATGATAAAAGAAACTGTTATCATCGATATCATATAAGTATATATGTATAGAGCATAAGTATCACGCAAGTGAATGTTTGATTTTGTTTATATTAAAATTAACATCAAAATATCTGCTTTCAAATGAATAATGTAAACTATTTAAAAAACAAAGTAAACAATATGAAATTGCAATGTATTTAAAAACTGCAAATAATTTCAGTTAATTTTAGTATAAAAAATGTTTATTTTTTAACATAGTTATAAACACTTACTTTTATTGTTCGTACATAAATAAGTGTATATATATGTATGTATTTTGTTTTTAAATATTTGTTATTGTACACACATTTTATAAGGTTTAGAATTCGACGTAACAAATAACCAAAAGCTTTGCGCAGAAAACTAAACAAAACAACGATAAGAATAATAACACAAAAAAACTACATATAACAAATACAAAAAACATGAAGATTTCTACTCTTCCGCACACTCACCCATCCCCTTCGGTTCGGTAACCAGATCAATATACCAAACGTCTTAACAAACACTTCTGCAAATGTTATTCTGAGAATAACGTCATATAATACAACCCCACACCTACTGCGAACCCCGCGCAACAGTACATATGCTAGAACAACAAGAGCAACAATATAACAACCATCATAGCAAAACGCAACAGAACACAAAAGTTGTTTGTCATTTACGAGTTGGTAGAGCTTTTGGCAGCACAGAACTTCTGTTTCGGTTAGTGAACAATAAACAATAAAAGCAAAAACAGAAATAAAAATTAAAACCAAAAAAAAAAATACAAATTAACATATAATAACAAAAACAAAAAAGCGCGCAAAACTAAGTTTTATATATAAAAACTATAGTTTTTATTTCTCTATTGTAATATTTTATATTTGTTTGTTTTCTTTGTGTTGTTTTTGTGTTTTTGTGTTTTTGTGCTGCTACGACGAACTTTTAAGCAATGGAATTTATTTTTGTGTTATTGCATTTTGGTTGTTGTTGCTGTTATCATAGTTTGCTTTCTTAAATTGTATTTTGTTTTTGTTTTTGTTCACAGTGGGAAATAAAAATTTTAGAATATTGTGTGATATACTATGTGTGATGAATTAAAACTAAAAAAAAGTAATAATTATTCTTTGCAAGCGAATAAATTTATTAATTTAACTTTAAAAGAACAAAATGACAACATCCGCCCCTGCAACAAACACTACAACTCCAGTGACTATCACTAATTCAAACAACAATAACAATGCAACAGAAACGCCTAATACGAACACTAGTACTGCAGCGCACACTGTTCAGCAGCAACAGCAGCAGCAACAACAACAGCACCAGCAATCAACAACGCGTGCCGCTGATGAAGACTTCAACATAAGATTTGTTAACTTGGTACGCACACATAAATGTCTTTATGATAAAAAAGTACCAGAATATCGCAATAGAGATAATCAGGAAAAATCCTGGTCGCTCATATCTCAGGAAACTAGAGAAAGTGGTAAGTAATCAAATCACATTACCTAGCCAAATTAAATGTGTAGTTAGTATATATATATATTTATGTATAATTATATGTATATATGAATGTTCACACTATGTTTTGCTTTTGTTTCCCAAACGCACACACTCACACATGTATGTGGGTGTACAAACTTAAGCCCACTTGGGTTTTGTTTACTTATTTCTGTCTATAAGAGAGAGAGCGACAAAGTTATTCAAAAAATATTAGTTCTTAGTGCTTTGTTTATAAATATTTTGTTGTTTTAGTGTTCTTTACGCAACACTAAATACAAAATAGTTGTGTAAATGAAACAAAATAGTTGTGTTTATTTAACAACGACAAATTTAAAGAAAAATTTTAGTAAAAATAATTGGCGCTCAAATTCTAAGCGTTGCAAACAAAAAGCGTTTGTCAGTACAACTCTGAGAGAGCATAAAACGTGTTGGCTGGGCACTGAAAACAACACAAACAGTACAAAAGTAGTTAACGTCACTGAAAAGTTCACATCGAGCTTTTTTTTGTTTTGTTGGCTATGTTTACTTTTGCTAGCAAAAAGTCTTTGGTTTGCATGAAGAGCTTTCTTATCGTTTGAATTTTTTTTTGTTAAAGCTGTTGTTATTATGTATTTGTTTACATCTCAAAACGACAAGACAAAAGAAGAATTTATTAAACAATGAAAAGCCGAGCACATCGTTGCACGTAATAACTGATCGTATCTTGTCGTGTGCTTAACTCGGTTCCCTATGCATAAGCCGATTGCGTCTGACAATTTAATGTTATAATTATTTATAATGTAACACAATTTCAAAGTCTTATTAAAAGTTTATTATTATATAAAATTATTAATTATTATTATTGTATTAAATTATTTATTATTATTATTAACTAAACTTAGTGTAAAATAATATCGGAAAGAATAGCAACAGCTTTTGCACTACAAGTGCTCCTTATGGGACTAGTATATAATATATATCTTTTTATTACAATACTAATACTTACATACATACGCTCATAATTACATAGGTCGTGTGCGAGTTCGAGTACATTGAAGGTAAATTGAGGGAAATAGTAAATTATGTCGGTATGACAGCAAATGTTGGTATTTACCAAAATTCCGAGTAAGGTAAATTAGATAAAAATTAGGTAAATTAGCTGTTACCATTGTGAAAATTTTATAAGATGTTTAATAAATAATTAAATAAATTTGGAAACCTTTAACCAAAAATAAAAAATAAGTGCAAGAAATAAATAAATAAATATTTACATAAGTACAATTTACTTTACCTCAATTTACTCGAACTCGCACATGGCCATATATGTTTTTTTCTGTCATTATTCTTATTCTTTCCAATATTATCCATATTTGTGACAATGGTTCTGTAATCTACTGATAAAGTCTACATTTACATAGAAGATAGATAATGTGGATAATGTCAGGTTGTGCGAAAGGTTTTCAATTTATGAATATATGTATGAGGTCAGCGGTTGAACATTTAAAGAAATGTTAAATAAGGTGTCATAAAAAGTAGAAGAATTGAATAGTGTCAGATATTATCATTTTGTGCACTCTATTGAGTGTAAATTAAGTGAAAGGTTTTCGAGTTATGAGTATATGAGGTTAAGTTATTGTATCCATTAGTCCGAAAAGTCCTCTGGTATTGGAAACTTATAATAAAGGCAATACTTGTAATAAGAGTGAAGGTATTATTGCCTTTAAGTGACTTTATATGTTATACCTTTTTATAATCGAACTTTTTTTTGAGTGGAACTAGTGTTACACTGTTTCTAATACTTTTCGGGGGTGAGAAACTATTTTCATTATTTACTGAGATGCAGAACATAAAAGAATCATATTTTAAAAACTCCTTACATTTCATAAACGACGAATTGAAATCACTTAACTCATGTACCGTTTTAGTTTAACAAATAAACCTGTCATTCAACGGGTTCAGAAGTCATCGGTTCAAGTTTGCTTTTTGAAAAATTTTCGTTCATTAGTACTTACAGATTTTCTGTATTTATTTTTTGTATATCACTGCCATATTATCTTGTGAACATTTTTTAGTAAGAAATTTTTGTTATATAAATTACTATTGTCCCGAAGTCGGCTTTTAAAGGTAGAAACATTGTTTTTTCGCTAATAATGACAAATTTGTCCTTTTATAAATTAAAAGTATATTAAGAATTTTGGACTAATGCATTAATTTAGATAAACGACTCATTGACACTTTGTGTCTCAGAAAATATTGAAAGTGGATTTCCCTTCTCCCACTCACTAATTTTATTTTCTCGGATTATGAATTCTCCTGCGGAAGTGGAAGTATTAAAGCATTTGCATTCCGGAATATAGTATTATGAGCCATGAAATTAAAAATAACTATAATATGCAACCAACCACAATTCTTTTTAGTTAAATCAGAAAATTATGTATCGAAGATATTTAAAATTAGATAAATTAGTTAAAAACAGATTTTTTTCTTCAACTTTCAGTTGTTCATTGCAAGGAACGTTGGCGGAATTTGCGTGCGTGTCTATCTCGATATATAAAACAGCAAAACAGCACCGACCCACAGCACAAGCCTTATTATCTAACAGAGCACATGGCTTTTTTATTACCCTTCCTTAAATCCACTAGAAGTTGCTTTGAGTCTGGTAACAACAATATTTCTGCATTCTTACAAATGTCTTACCAACAACAACAAATAGCACAGCCTTCAATAGCATCACTGCAAATGGTTTCGACACCAAAACTCAGATTACCAAACGAAATGAAACATTCCTATTCTGAAAATGATGATGAAGAAACTGCTGATGCATTTGAACCACATATAGAAGCTGCCCTTAATATGCAACGCGGCTTGACTGCACGATCACCTGCTCCAAGTGATACCGCAAGTGCCATTACACTTCAGAATTTTATACCAGATGTACAATTGGCTGAATTACGTACGCCTGAGATGGTACAGGATTTGCCATACGTTTCATCAATGCAAAATCATATGATACGACGAGATTCGCATGACGGATTGCATGAACCAAAACGAATTAAAACAGAATGTGAAGCTACAACTACAGCTAACCTAGCATATATCACCGACAACTCAGATATGGACTTCTTCCGTAGTATTTTACCGGATATAGCGGCTTTAACTCCTCAACAAAAACGAAAGTTTAAAATTGGTGTATTGGAATTGATAGATGATGTAGTTGAGAGGTTTCCCTTTGAAAGGGAAGGATGTACGCAACCTAACAACAACGACAGACGACGAATATCGGTACGGGATTGGCGAAAATAAAATTTGAAACTGTTTATTTTATTTTTGTAAATATTAAGTTATGTGTGGATGTAATTATAAATATTTATTGCGAAATAGATAATTGTATAGAAATATTTTATTGTATTGATTGTATATTACGTTTGAAAAACTATGCAGTATAGATAGGTAAGTGATGTGCGAAGAGGAACGCATCCTTCTCAATAAGCTAATTAAACTGTTTTTATTCAATATTCCTCGTAATTGTGTGTGAAGAGTTGGGCGTATCACGATCAGCCAAACGCATTTAGAAATGCAATAATCTGACAAATAATAATGTTAGAAATATCGTCGAATATGTCAAAGAATGGGGCTGTAAATATATTAAGTCTGGTTCTGAAGTAGCCTGAATATGACACAATATGTGCTATGTTAATAAACCAGTAGGCCATCACATAAACCAACCAATACAGCGGGGAAATTCAACAAAAAGAATAATGAAAGGCATAGTAAAAGTATATATATATAAAGTATATAAATTACTGATCTGTTCTTAAGTTGGGAGTTTACGAAACTGTTATTGAATTACATTCCACGGCAAGTCCACGGCATCAATAAATCTATAGTTTTTTAAAGTATTTGATGCAATTGAAATTTGTATAAGTGTCACAATTTTTATCCAGTTTGTATGTATCTAATTTATTGTTGTTGTTGTTGTCGTTTGAGTGCTATTACGCACCTTTACTCTTTTATGGTTGGGGATTTATCCCTGCCCCACACTAAGCTTTAACTATACTAGAATTATTACGTTCATGTATATTTTTGACCCTGTACTTGCTTTACCTTCCTCTGACAATAAGTTTCTTATTTTAGTTCATTCCTTCAAGGACTCAGAAGACACCATATGAATTTATATACTGATATTGAAGGTTTCTCTTTCAAAATTTTAAAATACAATTTGAATTTATTTATAATAGACATTTTTCATGAAGGCCACAAGTTCTTAGTATTTATAATTCATATAAATCTTTATTATGTATAACTCTTTTTTGTCTTCATATTCTATATAAACAGTCTCATTTTGGACGTTTGTTTAAAGTCTTATTAAAACAAATGAATATTAATTATATATTTTTATTAAGTAAAAAATGAAAAGGTAACTCAAATTAAATTCAATACGAAAACAATTTTTCACAAAATTGTTTAAAAACAGCTCTAAAAACAGGTAACGGTAACGCAGAAACCTAGAACTGAGGTGCCTTACACTCAATCTTGGAGTAATCCCTTATTGGAGAGTACATCTAACGAATATATAATATTTTTAACGCTTTTGATGAGACATTGTGCAAATACCAACCTTATACTGCTTATCCTTGTATTCCTGCCATGGCTCTGGATTCTTCTTACGATCCCAGATAATATCTGGGCTTTTGGTAGCCACTCGGTGAGAATAATACGCAGCCGAGCCTAGTCCACCAACTACACACATGTACAACGGAATTAACTAAACGTAAATATTTTTAAAGTTTTAGGAAAAAAATAACGGTTATATCATATTATATATAATTTATATGTATTGAAAAATACTCACGGATGGATGACGCATAATGCTACGAAAAGTAAGTCCTTCCATTGTGATTCTTTTTTTAGCTTAGTACAACTAACTAAAGAGAGTAGTTGATGTGAAGGAAAAAAAAATCAAATGATATTTATTTAAAAATAGATTCATTATACTATTTTTGACAATTACAAGGCTTTCTTTGGTTTGAAATAAAACTATAACAATCTAATATTTTTCTACAGTTGTGAAAAGCATAGAAATCTTTAATGAAAGATTTGAGTGCTTTCAAACCAAGTGTCAGACTATATATATTAAGTTATCAATACCCAATAATATCTCACATTCCAGAAAATATTACGCACAATTTCAGAGTTGCATTTGGGAATTTGTACATATATTTTAAAACAGAAAAATTAATATAATTTCAATTTTACCATTATTTAATCATTGAATTTTAAATTGAATGGATTTCAATCCAATTGGAGCCAAAAAACGCATATCGTAGAATAAAGTAGTTCCAACTCAGTGAAAACATACTCACTTACTTACTTAGTTGACCATTACAGATGTGAGTCGATCTTGGTCGCATTGTGTAGCCTCCGCCAGCCGGGCTGTCCCCAAGTAACATTACCGAGGACCCCCAAATCGCATTTTTATTCTAAAAATGCGGACGTCTACTACCATGTTTTCCACCTGTGGGTACCGAATTAAACATCTTTCTAGCCGGAGCACTTTCTTGCATTCACCCATGACCAAGCCGGCGAAGCCGCTGAATTTTTATACGCCCAACTATATCAATGCCAAGGTATACTTCATACAGCTTATCATTTCATCTAATGCAATACTTGTTGCCAACTCATAAGAGACCATAGATAAAATGCCTCCAACATCTTCTCATCACTGATAATTGTCCAAACTATTATACACTACTATATATACTATACAACAATACACTCATGATAAAAGACTTGTGATTGTAACGTAGTGCTTTATTTATCAATTGCCTACATAGCCTGAAGTAGCCTAAATTGGCAAGAGTGATTCGTCTTTCAATCTCTAGGCTGACGTCGTTTTTGGTGTTTACGCTGGTTCCCAAATAAACAGTCTTTCAGAAGTTCGAACTTATAATTCTCAACAGTGACGAGGGCCCCAAGACGCTTAAGAGATTTATTTGTTGAAAAAAATACTTTGTTTTGTCAGTGAAAACATACCATTAGCAATTAATTGTTACACGTTTTAGCCATAAAAGACTGCTGGCTTCAACCACTTTTTCTTCGTCACAGGATGATCTTGGTCACAATTATCGTTTACAATATATCTAATAAAGTGAATTGCTATATCCTTTGAATTTGACATATAAAGGCGGACATGTCTACGAGAGATTCTAAAATTTATTTATAATTATAGATTCATTATTGACCACATTTTTTCTTATGAGAAAGTAATATAATTAATTTTGTTATACATTACATATAAATATATATTATCAAAACCTATAAACATTTAATTACTATGTTAATGCGACCAAGATATATGGCGTCTGTGCGAGAGAGATAATTGTGATTTACAAAACAAGATTTTATAAAAATACGTATTTACACAGTGATTAACACCCTAGATATACTCACAAAAATTGACTGTGTTTATCTAAAAAAATTTGTGTGTTTATGTTGTTCTCCTTATTGACAGACTAAAGACAAATTGTTCTTATTGGAGTTTTGGTAAATATTTATAACTGATAATGAAAAATGAAATAAAAAAATAAATAACTCACATGTGTGCAATTTTCGAATATACATCTATTTTACAATAAAAAAAGTTGGGATTTTTATCCACATAAATGTAGTACATATTAAATTTCATATCTATAGTTCAATGTATAAAGAGTACTTAGACGTTCTTCGTTAATATTATGTTTCCACTACATCTAAAACCACTAATGTTAATGATATTAAAAATTGATCGTTTCTATTGACATAATCTAATTTATACATCTAAAACAGCTTGTTTATTTACATTATACATATAAAACATTTTCTCTACATTCACATTACCCTTGTGGGAAATTTATTTTAAGGGTTGCATTTGACATCTGTCGCCTTAAATCAGTTTATTTATTTATAATGAGTTAATTAACATGAAAGTTATTTAAGCTATCATTTGATAAAGTGATAAGATGACAAACGTGTAAACACTCATTTTTTTTCCTTCCCAGTTAAGTTTTATAATTAAATTTGATTTTATTATATATATATTTATTCTATCCAAATTTTATTTACTGCTTCAGTAATTCGTTAATACGGCAGCATTGTAATTTTGCAAAAATAAATACACATAAAATATTCTTATTTTACCAAGTTACCGAGCACCCCTATTGATTTTTTATCGTCTACCAAATAAAAGATCTAATATTGATTATACTCAATATTAATTATTACATTTAATAATTATAGTATTTATATTTATTATAATTTATTTATGTTTATAGTATTATAGACTCAATACTAGAAAGCTAATATCTAATTAAAAGATTTTCTTTACTGAGGTTAACATCGAGGTAATATTGTAAAAATATTTCATCACATGTTATGCAAATAACGGAAGACATCTGTTGCTTTATGTATGATGGGATTGCAAGGATATCATTCATTGTGAGCTAATTAAGTTTAGCCATAAGATTCACTAGCGGTTTATGTCAGCTTTAAGTGGCATCACATTCTGTGTTACTGTTATAGTCTTGCCAGACTCAACCTTCGATACTTATCAACTGCCTACAGACTTATAGCGGAATTAGACAACATCTCTTCAAAGGATATAATGACATTTTTAACTGCTACACGCCTATGGGACTAAAGGAAGCAGTGACGTGGTGACATGGTTCTTTCGAAGTCTAATCTAATCTAAATAGCGTTAAAGCACAAATTTTTTTTTTTGTGACCAAACAGAAATTAATAGACCATAGTAAGTATGTTTTGATATAGCCGTTAATACAATGCTGATTTAGCGCAGTCAAATAGTTAGTCGTTCCAATCTCTGGTACATTTTCTTGCTTGTATAATATCAATATCAAAATAGGACCTCTAATAAAAGCGCAATCAAGAAAAAAGATGAATTGTTTTTATATCATACTTCAGGACTCACAGACAGGAATCCAATTTTCGTTATAAAAAGAAAAAAAATTTTTGAATTTTTGCTTTTATTTATTATAAACCTCAATAAAATTATTTACAACTAATTTTATTATCTTCACTTTTAAATTTAATTCATGATAAGCTATTTAGGAATAGTTCTAAGCTTCAGGCCTACACTAGCACTAGGTGCCATACACTAGTTCTTAGTGGTATCCCTTGTTGGAGAATAGAAATAATTTATAAAAACATCAAAATTATTTCATAGTATTTAATAAATACTGACCTTGTCATGGCTCTGGATTCTATTTACGATTTCAGATATCTAAAATTTTAGTTCCTACACGATAAAAATAATTTATAGCTGAAGATAGACCACCAATTCTGCACATGTACAACGGAATGGACTAAGAAATATTTAATAATATTAATTATATATTAAAATGAATATCTATGTTAAAAAATACTTACAGTTGAATGAGTGGAAGAATGAATATATTCGTTATATTGTTGTCATATCAATAGTAGTTATATGTATTAATACAGTATTTTATAATTTATTACTTTTCTTGATTTGGAATCGTTATTGTCTCAAAAGACTTTTGAATTACTAAAAGGAGTTTGTGGTTTAGATTTTAATTTTTTTGTCTTTAAAAGAATCTTTAAGGACTTAGCAAACGCTAACACCACGTTCTCGAATTTGCGCAATCACTCTAGGGCTCCAGTAACGAATGTATTCTTCAGCTCTCTTCATTCTCTCATTATATACATAATAATAATAATACGCCGATGAAATAATTACCAATACGATGAACGTTAAGTAAATTATTTCTAAACATTCCATAAAAAATATATTCAAACTACTAAAATTAAATATTAAAAACAGATTTATGAAAGAGTATTTAAAGCAAAATAATTTGTACCTTCCGTTCATTATTACATTTTATAATGCACTATATAAATACGTTATATATAAACTATAAACTTGATATTTGAAATATAATCTTCTTTTTTTTTTAATACATATATCAAAAATTCAATACTACTAAGTTATATCAAATTTCTTGTATAAATAAAAATACAATTTATAAAAACAAAAAAAATTATAATAAAAATGTACCTATGGAATAGTTGGAAGATTTTTGTATCTGCAACATCTCAAATGAATCAGATAACGATTTATCGTGGACTACTAATCAACAGAGCGGAATCCTTTTTACAAAAGTTGTCCAGGATGTGTATTATTTGACTTTCAAGTCAAAGTAGATTCTGTTCTAACTTAATGAGAAAGTATAATATTATAATAACTAAAAATCCATTCCAACGAACACCAAAGTTAGGTGTATTCAAGTTTCATCAACAAAAGGCTTGGATACCAGCATAATATATTTATATTAGAACTAAACAGTTCTCATTTTTTATGTTAACAACTTTTCACAATTATATAACAACCCTTATACCTATACCTTAAGCAATTTATACATCTGTCTTTTGCAAATACATTTAGAACTCCATAACTTTTCTGCATAAAAAATGGATCTCTATCACTTATACCACCCTAATAAATATGTCAATTTGTTTAGTACAATCTTTCTAATTAGTTATTAATGTTAATATATTGACTTGGACATTTATTTCAAAATTTTGGAATAATGTAGAGCGAAATTATCATTCAATCAATTAAAAATCATAATGACTATGATATGTAAAAATAACAATTAAATTTGATAGAATTGATTTGAAGAAGTGGTTTTTGAATCTTCATATTTATATACGAGAACATGGCAACATATTTTAAACGATTTGTATAAATAGTAGATTCTTTTTCTTCCTCTTCTTTGCCTGATGAAATGCGAATTAGTGCCTGAATCATTCTTACTCATTAGTGTCTGTGAGTACTTGGTTGATCGACTATAAGAAGAGCTCTCTTGAATACTAATACTAAGTTATTCAGATGATTTTATCGAAGTATAGTTTGAAACCCGCAAATCTTCCTGACGGAATATATATAGCATTAGATTTGAAAGAGTGCAATTCTCAATTAGCGCAAATATTAGATATAATTAATCAATTCACAGATCGATTCAGAGATAACTTTGTTCCAACAATGTATGTATTTTCAACACATTTAAATGGAATAATCTAGGAAAAGGCTGATGTGAGTAGAAAGCCACAAATCGAAACACGACTGGGCAGATGTCAAATATATTCGTTCACAATTTTTTTAGTATTGTACTGCATTTTGAACATCTGCAGAAACTTACATATCTTTTTTGTCATTTCTTAATAGATTTAAAATTGGTTCCATAATGAAAGATACATCATTTTTGATATATACTAACTCAAAATATTAATTAATTTAAAGTTATTTAAACGTCAAATAAATCATGATTATGTTAACTCTGTTTCATCTATGCGAGACATTATTTTTGAAGGATTTGTAGATTTTAAAACCAAAAAGTATTTCAGAAAGTCTTACATTGATTTGGTACACTTAAAAGTTGCTTTGATTGTTTCATTTAGTTTAAATACACAATTTTTTAAAAAAAATTTCTAATTAAATTTTTAATTTTAATATTATCTTCTTTTAGAACAAATCAACTTACTCGCATAATTAGTTCAAAGAAGATCCACAATACTATATGCGATAAAAAAAAACAATATTATTATTATTGAGTAAGGGACCGTGCACTGCGACCTAAAAGATCTATTGTGCCCCAAACATAAGATAAAATAATTTTTTTTATTAATTAATACTTCTTTGCAAAGATATAATCCATATAGGTATGTATATGTACATAAAAATACATGTATAATTTAAAGAGAACATCTAAATCTCATTGAATATGGTTTAGTTTTATAAATTAATTTAAATAAATTGTGCATATATATATAGAAATATATATAGAAATAAATATAGAAAAATATTTAACTAAATAAATACAAGTATTTAAGCTAATGTATTTAATACAATAATAAATTTATAATTTTCTTATGTTATTTTAATATCTAGTTAATAAAAAAATACGATTATACACAATGTTTGATTAATTTTTTTCTATATCAGTCTATTTAAATTCGTAAAGAGCGTTTTGGAGCAGATTTCACTATCTTTTTGCATAATAAGATATGTCGACGTTTGATAGTTTTTAATGTTGATTTAAGATTCACATGCAAATTATTTGGTATCTGTGCTGTATTCGCTGGAAACTTTCCTAAAAAACAATGCTGGCGATATACTGGTACCGCTTTATACACATTATCCTCAATTGTAGACGTAGTTTTAGGACACTCCATCGTATTTGCAGGGTAAAACTCTAGTTGACTGTCATCAGCTGTTAATCGAAATCGTTTAGTGTTTATTTGAAAATCACAACTATCTAAACGAATGAAGAAAGTAATTTCCGGACTTGGAAACAACACTAAGAAATACAATAAGGAATCTTTGTTGAAAATGTAACCATTTCCATTTGTGATGAGTATTGATGATCCGTATTCTTTAGGAATATCAAATTGATTTAGAACTGTTGAAAGATTTTGAAAATATTTCAATATTAATAAAATAAAACTTTTCTATAATTAGATATATTACTCTTTTCAATTATATCCTCATAACTGCAATTCACTTCACAAATCAAGTAACGAGTCAAACCACAATACGTCATTTTAAGACAATTTTTCACTTTCTCCATTTTAGTCAGTAAATAAATTATATATTTTGTTTTTTTTTTTTTATTTTAACTAAATTTATTTAATCTAAATTTTTTTTATTTTATTCTTTGGCGCGTTTTAACAATTTGCAGTATTACTTGCATCTGCTCCGGCTGAACCTTATTTTCCTTCTGTTTCACGTTTTTTGTTCGCTATTACTTTATATCTGTTAAGGATATAATAGACTAGAGTAGATTTTTTTTCAACCCCTGAAAATAGTTTCAAATTCACGCTTCCTCGTATCTTCTAGAGGCGTTCCAAGCATCGCCACAACTAGTGTTGCTTCAATTCTAAAATACTTCGAGTAGAACGTGCTTCACGCTGCATTCACCAAATGAAATTGTATACAATTTAGCAACTCAAATAGGCACGAGACAACGTCTTATAGTTTGCACCCTACACTCTGCAATTCATACATTTTAGCGGACATAATACATATTTGAATTATCAACAACTAAAAAATCATGTACGAGAATTTATTGGTATTTCTGCAATTTTACTCTATGAGATAAATTATTTACAATAATAAGAACATCACTAATTAGACATGATCACAGCTTCTTATATACCACATAATATGTGGTATATGCTAGTCTATTGCTATTATGCTAATATGTGCCAGCATAGCTCAGTTCTCCATATATTGAACTTTGAAGTTTCAAATTGCAGTGCTTAAGAATTTTTTATTGAGCTATTATTTATCATATTAATACTATAATCGAGCTAACTATTTTTTTAATCATAATATTATTCAAGTATGTTATAAAATGTATAAATTGTTATTATATTACTCATATATCATTTTAATTTTAGAATTTAGTTACTGTTGGCATATTATATCAATTTTACTAAGAAACAATTTTAATATACTTAATATACTTCTCTACAAAAAAACTATTCACTGATTTTTACTCAAACAAATCTTCAATTCATATTTGATAATTTGTTCTACGAGTATCATAATAATATATATCATCATATATATTTAATTAAAAAAATGATGTTTAATTATGAATATTGACAAAATAAAATTTGTATTTTTTATTAATTTTTATCAAATCACCAATAATCAATTCAATTTATTTACCCATGTTCTATTCAAAATAGTTTTACATAGTTTTCAAATCCTCTTCAAAATTTTGAACTCTAATATTTTCCCATATAGCTAATCCAATGGACAGGCGATGTTGAATATTTATCATTCAATTTGTTAGTTAATATATAGATAATTAATGAATTCTAAATTTTTTTTATAATAAAGTACATAAAACTTTTAATATCTTCAACAATTAATCTATAATATTAAAGTTTCTATAATATTTATATAATATTAACGAAAATATTACATTATGTTTATAATCTTAACATAATATTAATACTTAACATAATACTTCCGCCATATTGTATTGAACACATACAATATGGGAGAAAAAATGAATTAAATCCCTTCTCTGAAACCAAACATACCGATTCGACTGCAGATTACCGGTTTTTGCTTTGGCGTTGTGTTGGTTGTACGTTCTTTGCATGTTCATTCATGACAATGTTTTGTATCTGCAATTTTATTCAATTGAGTGATTATCTACAATATCTACGAAATATTTTATTTTTGTTTATGACTCAGTTGATTTTGCTGAAAGCAAAGTTTGGAACTGCTACTTGAAAAAACAAAATACTGAACCAAAATAAATAATGTGTAAATTATAATATATAAACTATTAATTTATTAATTATAACTATATATTATTATTATTTCTAATTATTAATTATATATTATTAATTATAGAGTTATAATTATATATGTAAGTATTAATTGCATAAAATTATAAATATAATTATATAAAATTATTCTAAAATATATGTACATAAGTATGTATGTATGTGCCTATATCTCAACTAAGTACAAAAATAAAAATAAATCAACCTTCAAAAAAAAAGACCTATTGTGATCTCTGCCGAAAATATTAATACTGAGTTTTTTTCGAGTTTTCGCTGTAAATGGAAAGGATCAACAGCCAAAACAAAAGATCTATTTTATTAATATTCACCTATAAATGTATGTATATTTTCTTAACTGGTAATATACGTACCATATTGATACTCCAATCAAGAAAAGGTTGCTATTCAATTGTCAAATATAGTGTTATATTATATACTTATGTTATATATGTATGTATATATGAAAAGTATCTAATATTTAACTGCAGTTTTACTGTGGTACCAACAAATGATTCAGACTTTCATAAACCAGTTTTTAAGAAATATTTTCACTTGAAGGAGATAAAATTTTCCTTATAATAATCTTTATTAAAAGGAACACCTTTATTTCGGACTACGTAGCCAATTGAGAATTAAAGCCTTCTCCTGACAAACAAAAATCACGCTCCACAAGTCTTTAGTCACGAATATGCTGCTATATGATTCAGAAGCTTAAACAATTACCAACAGCGATGAGAAGATGTTAGAAGCATTCAAGAATTCTTCAGAAGATTTGTAGTCCTTTACACATTGACAATGAGTATCAAATTATTTGAAACGATAAACTGTATGAGCTGTACCTTGATATTGGCATAATTAAGCGCATAAAAATTCATAGATTTCACTATCTTAGTCATGTCGTACGAATGGAATAAAATTATTCTTTCTGCCAGAAAAATATTTGATTCGGTACCCGCTGTTAGAAAACATGGTAGAAGACGTTCGCTCGGTGAACGTTCGGTGAAAGGACCAATATAAAGGCACTCGGTACTATCAACTGCAGTCACTAATCGGGCAACCTAATGCTACTGTTCGTAGCCTGGGACGACACGCGTATATTAATCGAAAAAAAATATCAATGATTTAAATTTTGAAGTAAATTATAGCACCATTTTCCAAATAGCTGGTTTGTTTCCATGTCGCACTCATATAAAATTGTCTTATCTCAGAGTCCATAAAAGCTCGGAAAATTATGGTTTTAGTAACCTCCGTCTTCGCTGCTCTTTTTGAACACAATTGAGGTCTTTCGACATCATTTGTGTAACGTGTTTCATACCGAAAATATTTAGCCAACTTAAATCACCTTCTTGATTTGGTCGATAGTTTTATTGAAGACCAGTTATAATAATGTAAATCAAGTATATACTACATTTTAGAAAGAAATCATTTAAATGGCTAAAAACAGTTAAAAAAGGTGGTGATATAGCTGATTTAGAGAAATACAAAAATGTAAACAGAGAATACAAAAAGCTGTGTGATGAGAAAAGGAAGTCATATTTCAATGAAATGGCAATGTCGATATCCCAAGCAGCTGATAGTAAATCATTTTGGAGTGGAGTTAAAAAAATAAATCGTGCAGATTACATAAAAGGAATTAAAGTGGACGCCGAAGCTTTGGCGGCACATTTTAAAAACCAGTTAAATAGCAATATAGTAAGCAAGTCTTTCAGTTATGCCCTGCCGTATGTAATAAATGAAGCGTTAGATGCTCCAATAAAGATTCAAGAGGTCTATGCAGTGCTCCAGAATTTAAAAAATAACAAAGCCGCAGGTGAAAACAGAATTCCAGCTGAGTTTTTAAAATATGCCACGCCACAATTTATAGAGCATATGGCTGAATCATACAATTATATATTTGAAAATGCAGCCCCACCAGATAGTTACAAAAAAGCCATAACATTTCCCCTATTTAAAAAAGGTGACCCAAATAATGTAGCAAATTATAGAGGAATAGCATTTCTTAATACATCAGCTAAAGTCTTTACAACACTCCTGTATAACAAAATTAAAAATTGGGTTGATCAAAACAACATATTAAGCGAATTTCAAGCTGGATTTCGAAAAGGTTACTCCACGGTAGATAATATTTTCGTCATCACTAGTGTAGCGCAAGAGTTTATTGCAAAAAGCAAGAAGTTATATGTTTTTTACGTAGATCTTAAAGCTGCTTTCGATACAATACAAAGAAACGTACTATTTTACAAACTAAGCCAGCTGGGTCTTTCAACAAAAATTTTGAAAATGCTGCAAAGTCTATACTGCAACAATGAGTCAACAGTATGGGACGGAAGAAGTACATCGAGATGGTTCCAAACGTGTACCGGAGTGAGGCAAGGTTGTGTCTTAAGCCCTATATTGTTTGCACTGTTCGTTGATGACTTAAGTAAATTTCTTTCTGGTGGTGTTACGATTGCCAATATGTGCCTAAAAGTACTATTATATGCTGATGATATTGTGTTGTTTGCAGATTCTCCAATAATGTTACAAAATATGATAGATGAATTAAATAGATATTGCAACTTATGGGGACTATCTATAAATACAGACAAATCAAAAGTGATGGTATTTAGGAAACATGCTAGAAGATTGAGAAATGATGAAAAATGGTACCTTAACGATGATCAATTAGAAGTGGTTAATAATTATAAATATTTAGGAATAAATATGAAATATAACGCAAAATTCGATAACCACTTGAACGAGAAGTTAAAGGAAGCTAAATTGGCTATTAATTGTACCTGGATAAATGTCTTAGGAAATCCGAAAGTCTCACTGCCCGTAAAATACAAAGTTTTTGAAGCCACAGTTAAGTCAGTTCTAAATTATGCAGCGCAAATCTGGGGTGTTGATAAATATGACGCAGTAGAAAAATTGCAGACATTTTATATAAAGAGAACGTTTCGTTTGCCGAAAAATACCCCAAATTATATGGTGCATTTAGAAACTGGTCTACCGACGCTATATACCCAAACATTAAAATTGCACTTTGATTACATCAATGGTGTTAGGAATTTGCCAGATAATAGGATTCAAAAAACATTAGCGCAGTACCTAATAAATGAAAAAACATTATTTTTTGAAAAATGGTCAAATCTGGCATCCGAGTTAAATATAACTAATGATTTGAGTATTAATGAAAACTGGAAAATGTGGCAAAAAAATATAATAACGAAACTAAGTATTGAAGAACGTAGAAATTTTGTAGAAACGGCAAGAAACAGTA